CGGATATATCGAGCGCTGCGCGAGCTGGAAGGTACGCTACGGATTACACAGGTAAGCTCCCGGGGCCTCAATTTTTTATATCGAATTTTTCATATATCGAAGTAATTCGCGATCCCCTTCTAGTTCAATATATCCATGTTTGACTGTGCTATTAGCCCTATTTTAATAGACATACTTCAGTTAATGGAGCAGTAAATTTGGAAGAAAATGATGTATATATTGCGTGAATATCCCTTTTAGTCACTGAGAAAACGGTACCTCGAAATGACGAAAAATGCATGGGACGTATAGGACCTGCCCCGTGCCCTTAAAAGTATCCATGTTACACTTAGTGTAAGAGGCCCATGCTATGCATGTGTACTCTAGTCTTAGTAGCACTAGGGCTGTGTAGCAGAGAAGTTTAAAATTAGTGGCAACAGTTTCAAAGGAGCACTGACATCAACTTTTATAATCAAGATATTGGGCTCTTTATTTGATTGCTCGGTGTGCGTAGGTCCTCTTGGCGAAATTCGAATCGCATCCGTCGCATGGAAGTTATTTTATTTCAACAGCAAACAGTGTAAGAGAGCTTAATGGAAAATGAAGTGCCCCTGCGATATCGACACCAGTGCTACGTGTTCGGCGGGATACACATTCTTCATATACTATTCTAAATGACAATGCACTAGTAGTGATGACGCCTATAATCCGAGTGTTCTTATTGTGACGCTGACTGGCGCCGAAGCCTGTAAATGCACTCACTCGTCATGTCTGATCTTTGTCGCACCGCTTTGAATTGCTTCGTGAAATTACCAAGATGCAAACCACCCATAAAAAATTGGTTAAAGAAAAGAGCATAATTCAATATGTGCTCATCAGTCAGCATGTCAGGGAACCATTGTGAGTTGCAGTCGTCTGGTTCGAAGAGGGGAAAAAGCGCAATTAGGGTGTTTTTTCATTAGAAGTATGTTACACGTCAACACGACTACAAGCTATCGAAGTGGAGTAGACTATAAACAGATATCGTCGCTAACAAGTAGCATGTAGATATTGTTAATAAAGAATTTTAGTTTGTTCGTAGGTTTCTTTGCATCCACATAATACCAGGTGGGTCACTGCCGCTGCCACCGTGAGAGGCCGGATAGGTGGGGCCATCTGAAGGCGCAAAGAACCTGGCAAGTAGGGAACATTTTCTATTTCCCAGCTGGTGCGCATTCCCTATACCGATATTTTGTTGACCCCTTTGCATATATCTGAATGCTGTGCACTCCAAAACACACCAATATTGCTAATTTAAACGCACGAGCGAGAATGGCCGAAGCATACATCCTTGGGCACCTCATTGCTGCTTGGAACGGCGTCCATTTTGGAATCATTGTTCTGCAAAAAGGTCTATCAAAGCTAAAATGATTCGTGACGTTGCGAATCGCACTGATTCCAAACTCCAGAATGTCGTAATCAACCCTAGTCGACATTTTGTACAGCGATGACGGCAACGCAGGTGACAGTGCATGACTGAATCTGTGCGCCTAGCAGACGAAATGCTTGCGGAGCAGCTGAGCCTTATGTCACTCTTTTCTGTGGAGAAGTATTCAGCTGTAGTGCGATGTGGAGGTGACTGCAAGGTAGCGCCATTGGTAGTGCTCCCAGCGCTAAAAATGGCAGGATTGTCGGCCGTTTTGAATTGTGCTGGATACCAGTGACATAAATCAATATAAGTGATAGATATTGGTGTCTCAGTTGAGTTATAGATCGTGAATCGCTACTAGGGGGTCAATGGATACTCTTTGATGCAAAAATCTTCACATAAGTAAATTTGATGTCAGTGCTCTTTTAAGTATGTGTCTATGGATGCAAAGTTTGCGAAAGGCAGATGAACATCAATATGGAGATTTCAAGATAAGTTGTTGTAAATGAGTGTCACATGAGATATTTGTAGAAACTTGTGATGGTGAAGACCCTAATATGCAACTGGGATAGTGGATTTTTTTTTGTATTATGAACGGCAAGCACATTATTTGTGTTAAGATATTTTTTACTTTATTAACCGTGTCAAACTAATTTCTTTAAGCAAAATGCAATCATCACCGAACAATCTTATTTTTTCACAAGGGTGTATAAATAACTATATTATTTATATAGTACATGATTAGTATTGAAGGAGGGTTCATGTCCTCTACCCCCAAGGAAGCATTGCGAGACCACTAAAAACTGAAAAACTAATGACAACACTTGGAAAAGACTTCAACAACAAAATGTCAAGCAACTCATGGGCCACTATCTTTGCCCTCTGCGGAGTGCATAACAACCACAACACTCTGCTGGCTGAGTTGCCTGCCAGTCCACCCCGATCCAGTGAGAGCCTGCACGCTGGCACTGGTTTCGAAAGCGCACGAGTGAGCCACACGCATTGCTACTATTGTATGCAGCATGAGTCACTGTCGAGCCAGCTGGGCAATGGGTGTGGCTCCCACGGCATACAATGTGGACCAGTAGAGAGCTTATTTCTTCGTGACGTCACATGAATAGACTGCTGATGTAACAAATTGTGCCGAAATAATGGGATACGCCAGGTGAGAATAATGCACTCTTTCTTTGTATTTCAGAGGTTGTTTAGGGGCTCTTTAGGAGGTTGCACTGCCAGGCTTGCCAAGAAAATTCATGAGTAACTGTGCATCAGCAACTTTATTGCTCACTTTTCTTATGCATCGGAATGTGGCCAGCTGAATTATAACTGTGACTTCTGCTTGTTTGAAATTTTTTATTTATATTCAAGATTATGACCCAACTGTAAGATGTCAATATTCATAATCATTCTTACATATAGTTATACCCTAAGAGATCTAAATAATCATAGTATACACCTTAATGTTTTCCTTTAAAGTTTTTTGATGTACAAAAATGTTATCTTGGAAGCCTTAAAAAAATATAAATTGCGATTATTGGAAAAGGTGAAATGGCTTGCTGTCACACATTGAGTATTTGCTTCGTACGTAGGGTAGAGCTGGAATTGTTTTCTTGACACAACAGTATGTTAAATCTGTGCATTTCAGCACCCACATGTGGGCTGAACATATTAGTGAAGTGTAATTAAGCTAATTAATGCATTATCTTAAAAATTGATTCCAAATGTAGGTATTAATCTAGCATTTCATGACCATGTCTCCATGTGACAACTGCTGTGAGCAAACAGACCGTAGTAATTGCTCACAGAGCAATGGTGTTCCCCTCAAGTCATCTGCCATGGTGTTGGCTGCGTTTTTTTTTTAATCAATTCATCCTAAATGTCTTAGAGTTTCTGAATTATTGGACTTCATTCGAGAAAAGGAAGAATTTATCTTATTTTTATGTAGCTTTTGTTGCCCTGTGAGTAACAAAACAAGTTTTTTTTATGTTGAGTTGTTGCTGCAGCGTCCATGTTAAACTGATTTCTTGTGAGTAGTTGATTGAACGCCACTCATTTGTAGGACCCGCTTTGTGATTCTTTACAAAAAATTGTTTGCAATAGGGATAATTACGCAATTTATAAGTTGTATTCTGAATTTACTCACTTTATTCGAGATGTGGACTAAGTGATCGACAAGTATGCCTTGTTTTTCGAGTTGCCTAGCAGAAGTGAATCTCCTGTTTTGGTGAGCTTTGTTGATATGAAGCAGAGCCATTTGATAACGATGCTGCTGTTGCTGATAAAAGTGTTCAATTTGAACAGATAAATGAATGCATTGATAATGATCATCAACAATGACAGTGGTGATGATGGACACAATGAAGCGGAGCCGTGGACAAGCAATTGCACCTTGGATAGTACTAATGATGGTGATGATGAAAGTGTCGCATGTGATGATAAACGTGCTGATGATGGCAACAATGAACAATGACAATAAGCATGTTGAAGCAGAGGCCTTATGAATGATTATGGTGATGGTTATATGATGATGAGCATGTTAAACTGATGATGAAGGTATTGATTATGATAAGTGGTGATGGGGATAATCATCAATGCATTGAAGCAGCCATTGGCATGAAAAGTTCCAATGTAGGAAGAAGGATGATGACCAAGTGCAACTGATATTCTCAGCGACCACATATATGTGGACTTTTTTTCTTCGACAGATAATGCTAAATTTTTCTGGTTTAGAAGACATTCCCTCTTTTGCCTCTATTGTTATTGTATATATGCCAAAAAAAAATGTCCAACCAGTTTTGTTGAATAGCTGGATTGGCCATTGGATACAAAAGGTTAATAATATATCAGTGCAGTCGACTTTTGTTAATTCAAACTCGAAGGGACCTCTGAATTTTGTTTGAATCATCAGAATTTCACAGATAGTTGATTTTGGGTGAGGTGACATCACACTATATGATTAGGCATTGATTTTATCACTTTTAAAATTTTTTGAAGTGTTCTTAAGCTAGAACTACACACAGTGAACATAAAGCTGAGGTGTAAGGTTCACAAATCTATTGGCCATTTACTGCTGATCAGACATTCTAAAGAAATCGGGAATTGCTAACTACTTCATTGCTGTAGGCACGTGCCTTCAGCATAAAGCTCTCTATACCAGATGAAAAGCGTGACGGTTTACCATGCCTGCGCTTCTTTAAAACATTTTTTTACTTGCAAAGCCTTTTTCTTTGAAGGGAAAAAGGCCTTGCAAAGCCTCATTTTTCTTTTTTAGACTGTTAGGAATATCTAAACACACAAATTTTTAAATAGTAGTGGCAAAGCAGCAGATATTTTCTGGTATGGGCCTGTAAAAAGTATGAATTAACTGAATCATGGAGTTTGAATTCAGAGGCCTTTAAATACTTCAAATATTTTGAAGAATTGAGGGCTAACCGAAAGATTGAGTTTTGTTTGAATTAACCAAAAGTATTAATTATTAGAGTTTGAATATTCCCAAGTCTACTGTATTACAAAGGTTACTTGGTTTCTGTGTGCCTATAATTAACTATCCATATGGTGACCATATATATACATCACATCGTCTGCTCCCATCGCTTTTCTGATCATCTTTCAGACTGCTTCTGCTGACTTCAGCTTTGCTGCTCTGTGCAATGCTGTGCGTCACGTGTACCTCTACCGACAGCCTGAAACACTTGGAAGTAGTCAGGAGCTGCGAAACCGCAAGACGGGGCGTGAGGTTTCCAGTATAGCCAAGCTACATGTCATTAGCCTGGAGCAGTGTGATAGCATACGGGGCATGGTGGCAAGTCGGCGCTGCATCTTTGTTTTGAGCCCAGGAGCCTTGTATGCAATCAAGGTGCCTTCATAGCCATTGTCATATGTTTTCATGATTCATTGTTCACTGCAAAAATAAAATCACATGGCATTGCTTTTTTTTTTTTTGGAGTTGTGTGCCGTGCATACCGTTCATTTTGATTTGGTGGCTATAATGCTTTGGCTCTATCCAGACAACCAATGCATGGCAGCCAATTGCCACCACAATTGAAGAAATTGTCTCATTAATTCACTCGGCAATGTTCTCCAAAGGCGGGGTAACCTGCCGTTGGGCTCATGACATTGCATGCCCGTTAATTTAGGCTTAGTGCACCTGACTTTGAGGAGAAAATGCCACAAACTCTGAATTAGAGGCCAATCCACTATGGCTTCTCTTACAGCCTAGGCAACCTTACTCAATTTTCGATTGTAATATGTTTATGTGGGTTAATTCGTGTGTGTTTACAAATAAGCTGATGAAATTTGAGTTTATTTAGTCGAGCACTTCATGTAATATTCAAAATTTTTTTTATAAACGTGCGAGTGGTCTGAAAATAGTGCCACACTGTCATGTTTCGAGGCCGTGACGTAACAAGTACAGTATACCTGCCCACTCTCCCGAATTGTCCGGAAGACTTCCGAATTCTTACCTAATTTCCTGATTGTATGATTTTTTTTTTTTCAATCACTCGTTCATGTCAGCCTTTTCTGCAGCGATAGTGGTGGTGCTGCAGATGAGTACACTTTTAACAAATCGTACTGCAAAGTATGTACGACGCATTTGGGCGAAGGTCGGCGGCCAAGGGACGCGCTTTTGTCGTACCAAAAGCAGATGAGGGAACAAGTGCTGCTACTTTTGCGTCTGTCTGTCTTGACCCCCACATTTTGTATGGCCTCTGTTGCATGCCTAGGCTTCAGCTGCGTTTTTTACCTGTTTGTGGGGGTTGCGTGTTTCCCCAAGTTCAGTTGGGAAGTCGATGGCGGTGTCGAAAACAAAGAGGTACTTGCTAGTGCTTCTGAACTCTTAACGATCAGCGCACAAAAAAAGCACAAAAGTGCAATAAAGTGCACCACTTTCTTGTGCTGTATTCTTGTGCTTTTTCGTGCGCTGATCGGGATGGGTACGTTCCAACTAGCCCAATCTGCTAATTTACTTCTGGACTCGTACACAGCCGAGCATCTGTGCTCTGCGACTTCACAGTATGGTGACAAGTACTGATACTTTACTACGTGTGCCTACAATGTGAGCGTTTTGCACGGTGGCAAAGCCGACATAAAGGTGCACATCACTAGGCGCTTGCTTTACCTTGCAGTAATTAAGCAAAAAGCCTTAGGGAAACACAATAGGTACAAGTGCTTCGACGCCTGTGGAAAGGCGTGATGGTTCCGGTGCTTACATTTGGGAAATCAGTGGTGTGTATGAAGTGTGAGGTGTAATCAGGAATGGATGTAAATCAAAGGCCTGTGGGACACCTCGCATTGGGCGCTCACGAGAAGACGATAGATGAGAATTTAAAGAGGGATATGGGATGCACAGGCTTTGAAGTAAAAGAATCGGCTCAAAGCAAAGTGAGATTTGAAGAGAGGCTTAGGAAAATGGAGAGTAGACGGACCAGAAATGTGGTCAGGTATTTGTATAGTAAGAGCGTGGACAAAGTGGAAGAAAAAAAACTAGGAGGCTCACCAGTAAATATACGGCTGGCAGTGTGGACGATATGGCAACAAAAAGCATTTAGTGAAAAGTGAGAGAGACAGAGAGGATTTATTGGATGACAGCGATGAAAAACAAGCTGACTTTCGGTAACTGCCGAAAGGGCAAACGCGAAATAAGGAGGGAGAGGTTTTATGATAATTCACTGTTCTAAGCGAGGTCAGGTTGTCTTACAACGCATAGTTGTAAAGCGAGATTCAATAAAGAAGGACATATGTACGCGCACGCTATGGGGGAGCTAAGGAAACGATGGAACATGTTCTGATTGAATGTGGCGATATCCATCTAGGTATACGTGTGGGTATGAGCCTACATGAGGTGTTTGGTTTTAGGAACAACCATGGAAAGCTGAACACGTCCGCGATAGAAGCAAGTAAGGGACGGTTAGGGTATTTTTGGAAGAAAAATAGAGATAAATGGCAAAAATAGTGGGAAAAATGTCATTCTGCCTGAAGAGACAAACCGTGTATTTGTAACTTTTTTTTTGTTATAGTAAGATCGCTTTAATCGAAATAGATGGGGCATTAGGCCAACATGAAAAGAAAGTTTTCTTTTCAGTTATTTTCTTTCGAGCCTGCAGGGCAACATGAGAAGTTTTTCCAAAAGAGCCGCAAAGGTAGTGCGATCCGCGCAGAATGCCTATTGACGGGATTTCTTGTGGAGCACAACTTGTCGCTAAGCGTTGGTGATTAGGCAGGACTGTTGTTTTGGAAAATGTTCCCGGCTGAGTGCAAGGACACGAAGTGGTAAGGGTGCGAACGTACGAAAACAACAGCCATCGGCGGGGCAATGACTGCAGATGCCGAACACTATGGTGGACGCTCTGAAACACCGTGTTGTTGCAATCGCAGTGGACGGAAGCAACGACAGCGGGTCGCCAATGTCTCAGTCTCAGTAACTTCTGATATTCGACCCCGCAGCGGTCTCCCAAATTTTCATGCTACTAGGTTGGCAGGTATGGTACAGTATAGACCGCACGGGAGTATGCGCTATAAGCGGTACCGCATTATAACGAAAACTACCTTTTTCAAAGGCCGCAGTTATGCAAAATGTGTTCAGCATGCAGCCTCGCGTGTCCGAGAATCGACGCATGCGATGCGTGATGCTTAGACGTACTTAAATTTCTGAATGTTAAAAATTAACATTCAAATTAGGCCTTTGGTAATTGCCAACGAAACAAATACGGAGGGGGGATGGAAGGGGTCTAACTATAGTAAGCACCATTGCGGAAATTCGCCGACCACCTTTCAGACCGCCTTGATTTCGCTCATTACACAGAAACTATCTCGAATCACGACTGAAATTTTGCACGCTGATCTGCACTGATTGTTTGATTTCACGTGCGTGCTTAAGACATTGCAATCGAGTCGCGAAACACCATTAGACTTGAACGTGCCAGCCGTGGCCTTGTTTTCATGAACGGTATGTATCCCTTCCCTCAATGCCGCCACCGCGAAGAGTTTCGTTGATTCCGTACCAAACCGTCACTTTGATCGTCCCCTACCGAAAAGCAACCAGCGCTGATTAGGCTTAGCCTGCCGTTTGGCATGTTGCGGGATTGGGGTGGATAAACTTTATTGGTGCCTGCAGTGGGTCGCTCGCGCGTCCCGACGGGGGCCTACGCCGAGGACCTGCTGGATGGCCAGAGCTGTTCTTCCTGGTCGTAGATCTTCGCGGCCGCCTCGAGCCGCGACGAGATTGTTCTTGATCTTGCTTCCTCTGGGTGTTTGATGCAGTTCCACAAGATGTGCGTGTGATCTGCCGTCTCCCTCCAGCAGACCTTGCTCTTGTCGGTCGGGCATGTCTCGGGGTACATGCGGTGCATCAGTGCCGGGCTCGGTAGTGATCCGGTCCGGAGCTGCCTCAGTAGTACCGCCTCTGCTCGACCCAGCCGCGGGTGCGAGAATGGGAAAGTCCTACGAGCTATGCGCTTTCGTGATGTCGTTGTAGTCCGTCATGCGGTTCTTGGCTTCGAGCCACGTGAAAAAAAGTGAAAAAAAAAAGCAATGTCTAGGGCCAGCATTTTCGCGAGCATCAGCGCTTCATATCAGCTTCTGGTGTTGCTAATACGCATGTTCCAGTTGACATCGTTGCGCAAGTGCAAACAACTAGTTATATGAACATCTGCAACTCTTCGGCATATGTCTGTGTGTGCAACATTCGTACATATATTTAACGTCAACTCATGACGTGTCGCTCTATAAAAAAATTCCAACATGGTCACCTTCCCCCCGCATGTTTCGCATAACGTCGATTCCCAGGTACGTGGGATCTACCGATTTTTTTTTCTGTTTTGAAATCCTACAACTTTAAATTATTACCTGTAGTACCTAATGAATTCAAGCCTTTTCTTCAAGAAGTGAATTAGTTTAAAAATCAAGGCACCGTCCGAGGCATCCCCCTGGGTGCGGCATCCCCCTGGGTGCGTTGCGCCAAGTTGTTACAGGAACCAACCAACCAACTAGTAACCGGTTTGCAACCCTGCACAGGAGTGGGAAAGAAGTTTTAAAAGCCACACGGAGACACGTAAGGATTATCTCGTTTGCAGTGGGTTTCAAGCCTTGAATAATGCGTTTTGGTATCGCTGCTTCGCGAGCCAGACTGCCGATTTGTTGGGGCCCACTTCTATCACTAGTGAGAGAACGAATGTCGGATATAACGAACTAATTTATGGCCCCGTAGCAGGTAGTGATACGGCTGGTGGCACACTTGGTGATATCGGCTGGCTGCGCTCAACTGGCACTTGATCTGATGCGACCGCAAGGTGTATTCACACATGACGTCTAATGGATGCACTGAAGTCTGTAACGTGAGGGCTAATTGACAGCTTTTATCGTGGTGACATCACGTGCATGATCCCGTTGGCGTCACGACTATTACACACACACACACAGAAGAAGAAGAAGAGACTGTAAAAGCCGAGGGAGGAGTATGTATATTCTTTCTAAAATTTATTACGGGAAAATTGTCTGGGAACGCTTTGAAACAGGATCAATGTTTTCGCGAGTCCCGTATACGGGGGGGGGGGGGGGGGGGAGCGTTGAGCGTCGTGTGGTAATCAATTGTTAACGAAAACGTTCATTGAACAATTGTATGATTTTGCTGTACACACATTGTTAAAGAAAAGCACGGACGTCTCTGAAGCTTGTAATTGGATATTACGGGTACTTCTCAAGCAAACATGGCAAAAACTAGGTTTAGGTCATTTTGGGCTTCTTGCACTCTGTTCACATCACACCGTGTCCGATGCACACCGCTCTTTTCTTGACTCATAGATAATCTCAGAACTGATTCAAGTGTTTCGCAGCTACCTGCAATATATTTGTTTTCGGCGGCTACTTGTTCTTGCTCCTCAGCACCACTCCTGTTATTTAATAAATGATTACGTTTTATCCCGACCAGTGTTTCATGCCCGTTTTGAATCCAGTAGAGAGAATGCAATCGATTCCCTCTATCTCAACGTGCGAGCGTTTTCTTTCTTTCTTGCTGTGGTTATCGGAGAACTTATTGGCGCTCATGAATGTATTACGACTGAAAAGCGCCTGTCACGCGTTCACGGTTTCTAGTTGCTTTCTCGCAACTTCTGTGAAAATAGTATGCATCCTCACGTTGCGCACACTTCCACCATTTATTCGAAAACAGAGGCTCGTGCGCGACGACGGCGAGTCGTCGATGCCGCGGCAAGGCCGTCTACATATCGCGGGAGGTGTGGCCGCCGGGATCCGTTGAAACGGTCGCTCCTTTCAGCGGCGGGACACACATGGCAACAGGCGCCAAATGTCCATTACGAGTCCCGTACTCATCCCAGAGGCGTAGTCTAACGATGATGGCGTCTTCCGCGCGCGACGCGCTCACCCGCTCTGCGATGATAAGGGCTCGACGAGAAACGCCATTCCGGTTTACCGGCGACTTGGGCAGCGCCTCATGCGGCTGGCTGACTATGGCCGTTCACCTCAATCCCTGTGCGCTCGCGACCTTGGTCCTGCTGCTCTTGGGTGAGGGGGCGTGCGAGCGCTGAAGCCGATCGTCGTTCCCCCGTCGGGAGCCCTCGCAAGCGTCGCGGTCTTTTCGCGCGAAGACAAGTGCACGGAAGGGGGCACGGCGAGGCGTTCTCGGCGCAGCCACCGAAAGGGAAAGGAGAAGCCGCTTTGTTCAGGTAAGGTTCGTCCGCCACCGAGCAGAGGGACGCCGTCGCCGCCGCTTGCGGGCGGCCTCGCGGCGACGTCTTCTGACGGCTTGAGACCCGGTTGAAGCCGCGCTATTCGCGTTGCCGACGGCGAAAGTCCGCCAGCTGATCGGGGGCACCGCTCGTCACAAACGAGGGAGCACGGAGTTCGGACAGGGTTACTACCGGTCGCGTAGGAAGCTGCATGCTGTCGGAAGGTTCTCTTGTGTGTGGTCCGGTTTGTGAGCGTGCAATATGAGTGACTTTTGAGCTACGGAGTGATAAATGTGTGTCTTTTCAATGCGTTGTCTGTATAGCAGCCATTCCAAGATTATCTGTCTTGTGGCTGCGACTTCGACGTGATCTGTGATTCTAATCGGTGATTTGCAAAAGTGACACGCTCGATGCCTATGCAGGACAACGGCCATATATGTGAATTCGCGGCACAATTTTAGTCGCATTTTTTCTGACCACCAAAACACCCGCCTAAACTGCATAGGCGGTACTTTGCAAACTAGCGCAAGACGCAAGTCTAGAGTAAGAAAAAAAAATGTGGACAAATTGTATCATTCTGCCTCGCAGTAAGAATGGTAAAGAAACCAGAAATGCCAGTTTTTCGCATCATTGCACCTGTAAGACGACACTCACTTTGACATTACTTAATTAGGAGTTTCGGGAGAGCGATACGAGTCATATAAATAATTTTTAAAAATGTGCTTGAGGTGTTAGATTGCGGATCTTTTTTTTTTTTTCTTATTCATCTTTTAGGATGCAGGCTGTCATAGCTAGGGCATAACTGGCGCTTCCGAGCAATCTCTTCTTGTAATATATCTGCGGTGAAGCGTAACCTGTCAAAGTTCATTTAACTTCGCTAAAGAATACCTCTGAATAACTCCCGTTTAACCGAATCAAGTGTGCTGTGAGCACCAATTTTCATCTTCCAACATCCCCCCACCAGTGATCCGTTTTAACTATATACAGCTGGTCTTGGCGTTGCTGTTTCATCGCCGATTCGCATATATCGCGTTGTATATATCTGCCATTCTTTCATTCCCCCTTTCTCAACACTGAAAGGGCCGTGCTGATAGTTTGTGCTTCCACCATCGGCCCCCACGCAGCTGCTTAGGGATATAAGGCGGAAGTTGACATTTTGTGAAAGCTCCCGTGAGGTTTTAATAGCAGTTATTGATATCGCGCGCGTAGCAAACAGCCAACACATTTTACGCTACACCATTGTTTGAACAATCTCTTGATACAAAGGTTGCCTCCTAAAATACTATTTTATCGGTTTAAGCTGTAAGAAGTCTTGCAAAGTGAAAGCAACAGTACCGCTGTGCGATTCGCGTTTTTTTTTTTTCGGTACTTTCGCTTTTCACTTGCCATACAAAGTTTTGGAACAAACACTACGGACATATCTTCCAAAAATTGAGGCAACTCGAACATGGAAAATCGTGGCCGACAATTTATTATTTGTTCAAAGACGTGTAGCTGCAGATAGCGAGGTGTAAGTCTGCACCATTTTTTTCCCAACAAATGTTTTGCAGCAGGCGCCTAAAGCTGCATAGATTGCTTTCCATTTTTAGACGGCCTTGTTGGGGGTTTCATCCACCGGCTACAAATTTCTGGTCGTCATTTTTTTTTTCAAATTTTCTGTGATTTACGTTTACAGATTGCTCCGATTTACTCTGCGTATGTACTTGTCGACGGAGTAGACGTGGTTACACAATTTTTTTTTCACTCTATTTGCATTTCGTCCGCTTGTTATTCTCCCTTCTTCACTCATTAGTTATTCCTTTTCTGCGATGTATGGTGGGGAATAGGCCGCGTAAAATAATTGTTATTGCTTCGAAATTAACTGATCGGCCGCAAAGTTCAACATTTGTCAACGTTAGTCTTGTATGAAACTTGATCAACCCGCCACAGTTTTCTATAGTGGTTATGGAGCTCGATTGCTGACCTCCTTGTCGCGGGATCACAACCCGTGACCTGGGGAATTTTCGCAGTCCTCTACTGCGGTGTCTCTCGTGATCATGACTCTGTGACATAAAACCCCAGCAATTACATTAGGAAACTCGCCTTGCAGATTTTCTTCTACTCTTGCTATGGTGCACTTCCTATATATTCTGTCGCTATACAAAACAGCACGGCATGCGCCCTTTCAGATTACAGATAACTGCTTCTTGAGCTCTGGCGACCGAACTTCGCACGCTGCATCGTTTATCGTGGTCTATTATCGCGTATAGCCTGTGTGCCCGCACGAATGGCCTCTGATAAGCGTTGCTTTTCTCTAATCGCACGCACTTTGTATGCCTTGAAGCCCACCCGTAGCGGTTGGCCAGTAGCTGTGGCGTTGCACTGCTGATGTCGAGGTTGCGGGTTCATTACCGGCCACGACAAAGCGAAATATAAAAGAAAAAATTAGTGATAGGCCTTTACATGACGAAACCGCAGAGACCAAGAAGCAAAGAGAGAGAGAGAGAGAAAGAAAGAAAGGGAGAAAGAAAGATATAGAAAGAAACAGACAGAAAAAAAAGATAGAAGAAAAACAGAACAGAACAAAAAAGATAAATAGAGAGAAACGAAAAAGGGAGAGAAAGAAGCAGAGAGAAAGAAATACAAATATAGGAAGAGCGAAAAAAAAGGAAGTAATAGTGAGAGAACGAAGGAATTAGAAAGAAACATGTACAGAAATAGACGCAGGAAACTAAGAGAAAGAGACAGCAAGAGAAGAAAGAAAGAAAAAAATCTAAGAGAAACAGCAAGGCCAGCCAGCGGCGCTCATTCCTTAAGAATTGGGTTGGTAATACTACAATGCAAAACTGCCGTAGTTTTTTTGTTGCGACTCGTATGAATAATACCTCGATTCGAGTGCAATATGAAAAAAAAAGAATCAATTTAAAAAATCTTAATTAACGCATATTTCATGCATTTAAGAAAATTTTAAGACGTTTTCTGGAACACGCTGCATGCAAACGCGCCTAATCATGTGACACCGTTTAACATCGGCTACAGCGTGCCAGTAAGACGCGACAAGAAATGCGGAAGTAAACGGGATCCGCGCAGATATCCCGTCTTTAGCTCCCCGTGCTTCGCAGTTGCAGTTCCGCAGTCGTGGGCTGTTAATAAGGGCTAATTGACCCAACGAAGCGTACTATGCGTGTTTAATTCTTATACGCACGAAAACTGTTTCATACAGACACACACAGCTCTATTCTCCATATATACAACGTATGGAGAATAGAGCTGTGAACCAGCACATCCATATAGTGGTTGTCACAGGTCGGCAGAAATTGTGGAGCTCACTCAAACTCACTCACGACATGTATTTTGCACTTAAGGCTCACTCGGACTCACGAAAATCTTCTTGAGCCGGACTCACTCGGATTCAAGCTGACCAAACATTACTCCCCCGAACTCACCCAGACTCTGACTCACGGCTTTATCTGAGACTGAGTGCAGTCCGAGTGAATCGACTCATGAGTTGGTTAGCCTAGAATCAGCTTGTTTGACTATGGTGTCGATGCACTTTAACACCAATAGCTCTTCTTGGCCTCTTTTGATACAGTATACCTTGGAATATGAGGTATGATGGGTTGCAAACGAGTACGGACATTTTGCTTTAAAGAGATGACAACGTAAGATATATTTATCAACTGCGCTTTAAGATAAGGCAGAGAGAAGGTAGAGGAACACCCCTCCCCCACCTCACGTAATTTACGCCCCTGATCAATCAATATTGAAAGAGTTTATGAACAATACTGCTTTGGAAAACGTGTGAGTAGACATGACGTGAAAGGTGAGGCTGAATATAACGCTGAAAATGTGTAGAAAGGACACTAGGTAGGGAAAAGATGTGGAACTCACTCAGACTCACTCAATAAATTTATATTGTCTATGGGCTCGGTCAGACTCACTAAATTTATCTTCAGCCGGCCTCACTCGGACTCAAACTTATTACTCACCCGGACTCACACTAACGGCTTGATCTGAGTCTGAGTGAGTTAACTCATGAATGAGTTCGCCGACCTATGGTGGTAGTACAACTAGAAAATTAAGGCGGTGATTTTCTATTGTAGTTGAGTTCACAAAACCGAAGCTGTTCAAGTATTTGTCTCCTACCTCCTTCCACTACTAATCGACAGAGAAAACTACTGACGGAGCCAAGTAAAGCTGTCTGCTTTAAAAGCTTTCCTTTGTGGCCGCCGTCATCCTACAATCAATTCGCTGCATCGGAATAGACGGTCTTGCATCGTGAAACGGGCGAAAAAAAAAAGAAATAAAAAAAATTTTGGTAGCTTTTATACCTTATCTGCAGGGAACCCATCTCTTACAGCTGATATTTATAGATTTCAAATCTTATAAGCTGAGATATATCACTTAATTGTGAATGTCAGCCACCCTCAAAGAATAATCGAATCGGCAAACGTTCGTTTCTATTTTTTTAAACGGAATAGCGATGCCTACTGGCCGTTTTGTATGCCTTACAATTTCCGCAGATGAAATCAACATTCTTCCTTCATTAGATTTGGGCATAATTTTCTATGATCCGTCGTGGTGGTCTATAGTTATTATATAAGCATGATGTCCTATTTTTGACTCAAAGGCCGTGGGATATAATGTCGGCCGCATTTAGATGAAGGCAGAATGCTATGTCCAGTGTACTTATAGATCTATATGTGCGTTAAAACCCCCGGGTGGTTGAAATTTTCTGAGCCCCTCCACTAAAGCGTCCCTTATATTCGCATCGTACTTTCGGAACGTAAAACCCCAACAACCATTATTATTATTATTATTATTATTATTATTATTATTATTATTATTATTATTATTATTATTATTATTATTATTATTATTATTATACTTTCCGATGCGCTGCATATATTAAACGTTTTAGCCTGCACAACAAGCAAGCCCAGACATCTTTTGTACTAATTTTGAGGCGCTTCGAATCGGTCGTGGGATCGAATCCCGGCTGTGGCGGCTGCATTTCC